CTGCTGCAAATGAAACAGTAAATTTCAGCTGCAGTTTGAGGGGGGTGAAGGCTGCAGGCTGTTTTCTTTTGTGCTACCACACCTTTCAGTCACTAGAGTCCTTAATCACCTTATAGCTGATGTCACCTCTGCCTATCTTCAAAATGGTCACTGAGCTTTCTTGCACTCTGACAAATACTGTTTTCCCTGGGCAAAATTTTTGTGCTCTTTAAGCCTCTTTGTAAAAAATGGAAGTGATACCTCCATTGCTTATGGCAGTATTGGACTCCCCCTCTGCTGTAAAGCTAATCCATGTAATAGCTTCTTGCTTTGGAGTGATGCCAGTGGGGGATTACTCTGTTTTGCTGCCTTTCTAAACTCCTCTTGTGCTGAAATGTGGTCCTGGATTATTCCTGTGTAATCCCTATGATCAGCACAGCAGCAGACACATGCTGAATTGGAAGTACTGAGAAGAGACAGGGAAACACATTTGGATAGACCACATTGTGCTTGGCCTCTGCTCAAGGTTAGGCTACGTGCTGGACTGAAATACTAGTTTTTGTACTCTGGACTAGTAATTCACAGAATATTCTGAGCTGGAAGAGACCCACAAGGATCATCAAGTCTGACCCTTAGATGAATGGCCCATACAAGGATCAAACCTACAACCTTGGTGTTATTAGAGCCATGCTCTGCCACCTAGACTCAGTGGCTATATTAACCTCTATATAACACCCATATTTTCTTAATAGGGATTCAAGACCAGTTACGTGCTATTTATACTGGTCTTGTGAATCACTAGTGATCCTCATATCTAAGGCTTGAAATTTTTTTGGTTTTATACTCCAACTGCATAATCTGAGTATCCTAAATTTCTTAGTTTAGAGTGCGAGCTACACTGTTGTGTACACTCAGGAAACCGCATGGTAACCCCTCAGCATGTGTATGGTAGCATCTTCATCTCTTTCATGAGCACAGTCCTAAACACAAGCAGTTCTAGCCACAGCAAGACTGTGAGCTCTGCAGCTGACACCCAGCTATCTGTGTTGGATGATTTCATTTCTGTGTTTTGTTGTCCTCTGCCTTAAAGGCAGTGTGATATTTTTCCACTTTGTGATCCTAGTTATTCACAACAGATATGGTTGTATTGAGGAAGGTGGTGGAAGACCTTGATTCAAGACTGCAGACAGACTTTTTGAATATTTATCAGGATAGTGTTATAGCTCTCTGCCTCCTTGCATCTTAGCAATGGTCTGTTCTCAGGGGATTTATATTATGTTCTTACTGTGCTGTAGATTAGACTCATGGTTAGTGAATATCACCACAGTAGTTCCTAGCAACTATGATATTTTCCTCTTTGGATTTTCTTTAGCAACAACCTCACAGCTCTTGAATCTCTCAGGTTCCTCAGACACTAATGTTCTAGATAAGAGGGATGTTATCTGGCACTTGCATGATAGAATTTATTGTGGAGCTTTAATTTATTAGTACTTTACAAATGCTTATGAGAGCCTGAACATGTTATAAAATACAAGTATTATGCTGTCTACTAAGAAGAAAAAAAAAATCTTAACGGCTAACAGCTCCCACATATGTCCTTACAAATGCATCCAGAATTGCAAGTAGCAGGAAAGCATTTATTTATCACAGAATGTCCTTGGCAGTCACTGCTGTGTGATGGACTCTCTTGTGTACAATGTTGCTTCTGTTTAGTAGTCACTTCTCATTAAAATCTATTTTTTGTTTCCCTCTTTAGATGATATCTTCTCTAGCAGCCAAGTCAAGATACCTACTCCTAAAACCAGATCTTCCCAAGCAGCCTCAGAACCAAAATCTGAAAGCAAGATCCTGAGCACATTTGATGACCCGCTGAATGCCTTTGGAGACCAATAGTCAAGGGGATGTGTTGCAGAGAAGCAGCCTTCCTTAGCCCTGTCCAGTACTAATACTCTGGATTCTCTAATTCAGTAAAACTGGAATGAGATGAACATGGATATTTAAATGAGATTACCCATTTGAAATGGTTAGTATTCTCTTGTGCTAATCTAATTCTGCTAAATTATATATTTTTTAAAAAATACAGTAACCTCCTGCTATCATGTTTCCATGGTGCCGAGATGAATACAGCCTGTGCAATACCTGCAATGAAGTAATCTATTATATATAGTATAGTTTGTTTTATTGAACAGATCTATAGATAAAATAATTGATAAATAGTAAATTGAGTCTGTTAAACTTGATCTGTCTGCAGGTCTTACTTTCCTCTTTACTTCTTGCTTAGAACGTGTGCATCATGACTTGAAAACTACCAAAACCATTCCCGTGCTTTGTCTGGGTCAGCTGCCACCTGCTGAGCTAGTGGAGGGTAAGGCTGGGTTCAGTACCAGGTACAGCTTCTCTTACGGAGTGAAGCAGTTAGGAAATCTCAGAGCAGGACTTGACATGACCTCTCATGAGGTATTTCATTTAGGCAGCTAATGTGGGCTATAAAAATAACAACAGTTAATGCTTCTTTGCCAGGGACAGTGTGTTACAAATCAACACCGAGTGGTCCGTGAAGATAGCAGAAACCTAACAGTGTCTTCTGTTCAAGTTGTAGGCCATTAAATCAGATTTTTCACCTGCATGGAGCTGCCAGAATCTTGCAAAATAACAGTTCTCACAAAGTCCATCTATACAGAGCACATTTGGTCACTTCTAGGCTGACAAGCCTATGCACATACTTCATGGAAAGACTCTTCTGGGCCCAAAGTCCTGCTTTCCCTTCTCCTCCATAACACAGTGTAAGCTGTATGCAGGAGGTTGCTGCTCTGGAATCCCTCCAGCTGTGGAATGTATTTGGTCTAACTTTGCTTTCTGTATTTTCTAGATTCCCTTCTGAAACAGATGCCATTAACCATACTTGATATCCAGTGGTAGACACTTGCTTTCCTGCATGCATACAAGCAGAGCAAATGCATGCATGCAGGAGGATCAAATGTTTATTTTATTGTACAATATTGACTGCCTGCAATTCTGATTAGATTCACTGCTTTTATGATAGTGGCTACTTTATCTCAGACTCTTTAAGACTGTTCTGTTGCAAATTCAAAGCATGTGCTCAGAGGACTCCTTTGAGATCAACTCCCACTTGCACTGCAGTCCTCATTCTGAGACATCTGCTTCAGCCTCTTGTTTCTCAAGTTGGATTTCCTTTATCAGGCACAGTAAATACTACAGCTGAAACATCTAGTGCTAATGAGGGTGAAGCAGAAGGAAAGGTTGGAAGGGATAAAGGAGAAACATGATGTATGATTTGCACCATAGGTGGGCCTATCAATGATTCATGTTAAGTGGGGGGTAAGCTGAGAGTAGCAGCTTGAAAAAGAGTGTGGGGGTTATTTGCAAATGGGTGTCTGCAGTGAAAGCACTTGAACTTTATTTATAGGCATTACATCTGCTGCATATGCCTCATACGTGATTTGGACTGCTTCTTTACTCCTTTCTTCTGTGCTTAGAAGGGCTTCAAAGATACGATGACAAAAATATGATGGTGAATTCTTCTGTTTCTTTTCTGCATCTTTCTTCTTGGCCCTTCATATTAATAACTTCTATTAACATTTCAAGAGGGCTGTTCACAAGCTAAGAACCCTGAGGGCCAGAAGCTCTTGGAGTAGGAAAAAAAAAAAGCTCCTGCCTTAGTGTTTCTTAAATTTTCATGTGAAAGGTCAGCAGAGAAAAGCTGTTCATAGTGCAAGTTTCTATGATGTAGATCACAACCTTTCTTCCAACCTAGTTTTTCTAAACTGGCAGATGGAGAGTGTTTGTGCCTTTCCTCATGCCTCTTCACACATTAAAATGAGGTCTAGGGACTTCACTTCTGGGAGGGCTTGGTCTGAGAGGTGACTTTTTGAACTGGATTTTGGCTAGAGGGTTTGGTTTTGGGTTGTGTTGTTTTTTTGGTAATTTGGGGGTTTTTTGCATGTGGGTTTGCTTTTCCGGTTTGGTTTTTTGGGGTTCTGCAAATTCAAGAAACCACAGCTGCATATTTCCCATAGAAGGGCAGAGCTGAAGGCTCAGTATTACAGCATCTAGAAGCTCTGACAGGTTCCCATACCTACTACATGTTTCTAAAAAGCCACAGTTTTAACTGGGCCTGAAACCCAACAGTGAGTCAGGCTAGGTCTTGTGTATTTTAAAATCTAAATGGAAAGTAGAGTGGTTAATGTAATTAGCACCTGCTAATAGGATAAGCTTGTTTTCTCTAGCCTGTGATCATCCACGGGCCTCGCTGCTTCCGGAGCTTGCCCTGGCCCACCTCACGCTGGAATGGGAGCACAGTCGAGCGCTGGCCTTCAGTGGAGGTGCCCCAGAGCAGTGCCTGGCCCCTGCCAGGGGGGAATGTTCGTGTCCCGGCTGGGAACAGCGGGGCGGCTGCCCCTGCCGCCCGGGCCCAGCGCTGCGCTCCGGCACACCGGCAAGGCCCGGGAGCCGCTCGGCCTGAGCGCACGGCGCTGCTGCTGACTCTGCGGCTCGGCCCTGTGTAAAAGGCCGCCGCAGCCACCGTAGCCTTGACGGGCCCTGGCCGCGTCCCCGGCCCCGCCGCACTCCGTGTCCCATGAGGCTGCGCGGCCGCCGCCGCTCTCACGTGTCCACCGGTAGCGCTGGGGGCGTTGCACAGACTCAGGGAGCGGTTTGGGGCGGAAGGGACCTGAAAGCCCATCCCGTTCGCCCCCGGCCCTGAGCAGGGACACCTCCCAGCGGAGCGGGCTGCCCGAATCCCCATCAGCCCGGCCTTCAACACTGCCGCCGATGGGGAAGTGTATCCGGGTCCTTCCCTGCGCACGCGCTGCCGCCCCGCGTCTTAACGACCACAACAAGCGGCCCGGCGGGTGCCCGCCCCTGAGGCACCGCGAGCCCCGCCCCCTGGGGCGCTGATTGGCCGAGGTTCGTGAGAGCGGCCGTCCCATTGGCCCGCGGGAGGAGCTGTCACAGGGCGGAGCAGCGCGGGGGCTGCCGGGCGGCTCCTCCCAGTCCTGCCCCCGGCGGCTCCGGCTGTGCTGCCAGTCCGTGCGTCCCGCCGGGCCCGGCCGGCTCCGGCAGCTGCGGCGGGCGGGGCGGCGCGGGGGGAGAGGAACCGTGTCTCCCCCCGAGCGGGCCCGGCGGTGGCAGGTGAGGTGAGACGCCACCTTCGCTCGGCGAGTTCCGGGCCCTCTGGAGCGCCGCTCCTGCGGGGACCCTGCGGCCGCAGCGCCGAGGGCGGCGGGGCAGGGGGGCCGTGCTCGAAGCCCCCCGGGCCCGGCCCCGCCGGCGAGGCGCGCGTCCCGGGAGGAAGCGGGGCCGGGGCAGTGGTGGCGGGGCCCGCGGCCAGCCCGGGGAGCGAGGCCGCCCCGAGGCGCGGCGGGGACGAGGCAGCTGCTCGGCGTCCTTTGTTCGCGGCGCTCCGCTCGGCTGCCGGGTCCGGCCCTGCTCCAACTGCCTTCCCTGAGCCCGGAGCGGGCCCTGTTCTTACGCCTTTCTGGAGTTTTCCTATAGCTGTGACACTGCCGAGGGCTCAGCTCTTGTCTGGAGGCATTGGGCGTCTGGTTGTCATGTAGCTTGTGGAAACAAAAATAACAAAGGTAGTAGGTTGCGTCTGGAATGCTGACTAGAATTAGAGCCCTAAAACTACAACGTTGGTAACATAATTTGAGGTTATCATGCCCTACCTAGGTAATAACTTCGTGTTTCTTAACAACCGTTTTACACAAAATGAATTTAAATTCTCTTTAGCAGTTGCGTTTAGATGTTGTCAGAACTATATTTGTTTGCTTTATAGGTGAAAAATCCTAAAGATGAACAGCAATGCACTACACGTGTCTTCAGAGCTGCCTTGGCTAGAAGTGGAATGTAGTTTCCTGACAGATCTTCTTACAAGGAAGTTGTAAATCCGTTCTAATGGCCAACAAGAAAGAGCCTCCTTTTTTTAATAAAGATAATATGGGACCATTTCACTACAAACTTCCTTTCTATGAAACTATGGAGCTCTTCATTGAAACGCTTACAGGAACCTGCTTTGAACTGCGAGTTTCCCCCTTTGAAACAGTTATTTCTGTGAAAGCTAAAATTCAAAGACTGGAAGGTACTATTCTCTCTTATTTCAGTGTAAACTTTATGACTTTAGAAGAAGTCCTGTTTTTAAAAGCATAATTGCTAAAATCAAACCAGAAAACTTAAATGTCATGTTTAGCAGTATATATAAAAACTAGATGCCTAGGTTTAATTGAAGTTGAGTTGTTTTTTCTGTTCTTTCTGTTTTCTATAAGTTCATGGCTTAGGCTTTGCTGCAATTGGTATGTTTGCTCTTCTGGTGGGTTGGTTGGGTTTTTTTTCCCATGTCCAGTTATTAAGGTTAATTGTAAAAAGTCTCTGGATTCTCTGACCCAAGTTGTTTGTTAACTAGCAAGGTTATAAATTCGAGCCATGCAATATATGTATATTATAACTGAGCATACTTTAGATTTGCTGCTATGTTTGTTGCTGATTAGGTTAGTCAGTTTATGGTTTTTTTATGATACTGCAGTCACAAGAGTAACTGCAGTGCAGGCAAATCCCAAAGGCAGCTTTAAGTTACTGATTTGAATTTTGTTTAGGTGAATGATCTTTTGCTGGTAGACATCTGGCTGAGCAATGCTTTGTCTTAAAGTGATAAACTTGACATATTTTGCAAAGTGAAAATCTCCTTTAAGTTATGAGGCCAGTCCTGATGCTTATGCAAGAAGAATAAGTGTAGGTTAGTCCCCTCTTACCTCTTTTCCTCTGTGGTGAGGATGACCTTGCATGAAAGAATGTGATTTGAAATATGTATATATTCATAGTCTAAGCATTGTGTCCTCTATCATCTTTTTCACTCTGGAGGTGTTAAAGAACTGTACAGCTGTAGAAGCTGAGCATATCAGAGTTGGTAATTTTAAGAAAAGGGATCCTCTCATTCCCTGCTATACCTGTATATGTTTTTAATCCTGTCTGTGTGGAACCCATCCTCTGGGAGATGTAATACAATGCTGTTGACTGGAATCTAAGATACTCTCCTCCTCTTATGGAAATCTGCTCTGGTGGATGGAAAAAACCCCAGACAGCTGGCACAAGTCTTAAAACACACAAGCATTGCAACAACAGAGGGGCCTATTTACTGGCAAGATGCACACAGCAGAAGCTCCTCTGTGCAGATGAGCGGATCTTGCATCCCTGTAGGTTCAGCACTGCAGCTCTGTGGGTGGGCTTTTGTTTGCTGTGGACAAGGTTGCAATTAATCACAAGTTAGAGAATGTGTCAAGATGCTCCTGGAGGCTAGAGGTGAAACAAGAAAAGGAAAGGGGTTTTCCTACTTGAAATTGAATATAGGTGTAGGAGACATGGGTAGAGTGCTAACTAACAGTGAATTAAAAGGTAGCATAGGCAGTAGAGAACAGAAGAAGGCAGGCTATCTGGGCAGTATCAGTGGTGCTTTAAAGGATATATTAAGATGTGAGAAAGAGGGAGTTGAATTCCTTGTAGTCCAAAATGTGAGACTGTGAATAGTCATACTCAGTTATACCTACAGCTTACAAAAGTATCCTAATTTCTTATTAGAAAAACAGCTCAGTTTGAAGTTATAATAATGTTTATCTGGAATTTTGTTTGCATGTTGTAGTGCATAGGATGGTAAAGTAATTATGGCTTAGCTGCCTGCTCTATAGAATTAATAAGTAAATTTCATTAAACATGGAAGATGAGTTCACTGGTGCTTATCCTTGAATTGTCAACAGTCAGTTTAAATATTTTGACACAGAGTTAAAATATTTGTACTGCCCTGATTAATGATTTTTGGGAGGCAGAGTGAAAACAAATTGATCAGTTACGTGTGGATGAAACAGATACACAATGACAAATTAATTGTATGCTGCATTTGGGGTTGCTTTTGCATGTAAAATAATCATTAACAATTTTTCAATGACAAAGTTCCTATTACAGTGCACAAGTTCAAGCAGTAAATCACCCAGATGGAGCAAAAATTCAGAAGTAATATTGTTGTGATTTAGCATGGGAAGGAGAAAGCTTACATCTGTTTCTGCTGCTGGTTTTCACTTTTTATTATTGTATTGTGTCAGCTTTCATGGGATGCGAATGTCTCTTATTTAAGCTGCACTTCTGGTTGGAGAATGCCTCTTACAGTGCTGGAAGACTACATGAGGTCCCTAGTTATGAGTATTTTCTATGTTTGGATGTTGAGGATGATAGTATATAAGCAAAAAAAAAAAAAAAAAAAGATGTTTTGGAAAAATGAGCTGAGACCTGAAAGTTCCAAGAAAAAAATCTGTAATTGTGTCAGAAGTTAACAAATTGTTGAAATATTACCAGTGCCTCTAATTGTAAGAGGCTAATAATAAAATTAAAACAAGACAGATTGATCTTTGTCAACAGCTGGAAAATCAATAGCTCTAGACTGTCTTCACAGTAACAAAAAAGCATGATGTGGATGGCATGTTAGGAATTTTGCTTCAGATACTGTTTGTCATTCTTGATCCCTGCTAGTGATCTGATATGGAAAGGCTTTGTTTAGACAGCTGTACTAGACATTGGTACCTTACTGAGAAAGAGCTGCATGTTTCCAGCTATGTGTTTTCAATGGTTTTAGTTAGTAAAGAATATACATGAAACTTACAGGTTCTAACGCAGCTGAAATTTCAGTGCAAGTCTTCTACTTGTAAATTGAAGTTATAGCATATCTGATGTGTGTTTGGATCAGATCCAGGCATTTGTCCTCAAATATGTCCTATGTGCAGTAAGCAGGAGATTTGTTATAGAGTTGATTTTGGAGCCCCAGGGGTAAATCACTCATAGTCTCAGATTCACTGACTGAGCCCTTTAAGGAGCTCACCTGGGAAGAAATAGCTCTGTTTGTCTCTGTTGGTGGGATAAAAACTGGAATACACACACAGTGCTGCTAGCAGTGCTACCTACTCCATTGGTTCTACTTGTTAATCGGTGCTGATGGACATGGATGGGATGGTATCTGAATTTCCAGGTGGCATGAAAGACTGAGCTTTAACATGGGTAGCTTTTAAAAAAAGAAAAAATCATTGAAAGAGGAAGTAATGGGGTTTTTTACCTGAGTTCTTTTTGCTTTCTTCATTGCACAAATCCTTGTAACTGCTGGGCTGGGCAGAGTTTAGTATTCATTTGGAAACACCAGTTATTACAGTGTTTTATAGACAGAGCATTCAGGTAGCATATTTGTAGTAGTGGTTAATTAATCTGTTAAAGAACCATAGGTAATACCTGTTAGTGTGTTTGTTGGGAAAGATAGGATTGAGTCTCAAGGGAGGAGGCAGGCTTTGGATTTGGTAGTGGTGGTGTTATTGTTGTTAGCTTGCAGGAATTAATTTGAATTCTTCAGTATAGAGTGTTAGGGCATTCATTTATGTAGTTAGCTTTAAAATAAAAACCAACTTGGTCATGGTTTGTTAGGTGAGTACTTGCAACTGAATTTTATGATCTATATACATGGAAACCTCGACCTTGTTAGATGAAAATTTAGATGTTCTCTTTTTCTTGTATTATTGTAAAGGGGAAAAAGAGAACGAGCTTTCAGAGCACATCTTGATTTCAGTGTTCAGTAGGTGTTCCCTTGTGTTCAGCAGGGAACGACAGATGCAGCAGTAATTTTGTTGTGTATGTGTGTACTCAGTTCATCATGTGAGTTGTTATTTTTCTTTGGTCTTTTAACTGTCATTATTTTGCTGCCTGTGTACAGCAGCTTCACATTAAATAAAAGGAACTAGAAGAATGTCAAGCAGATTTCATATGGATGTTGTAATTTCTTTCAATGTTCGGTGAATTCAGAGTATGTCAAAATGGCATTTGTTACTATTTGCATTAGAGAAGATAATAGCTGTGCTTCTGCCAGGACTGGAGTAAGTGGATTGCACAAGTGTCATGAATTTTTAATGGAACCAATCCTGCTTTTTTCTGTTTGCTATTTTCCCCCTACATCTTCTGTTTGCTTTATGATTTGCCTGTTTACTGTGCTGATAGAGAAGTTCATGAAGCATTTTTTAAGCTTGTGCCTTGTCTGAGCTGGGAGACATTTCTGCTCATAGTGGATGGCTGCCCAGAGCAGCATCTGGAAGCTGTAAGTAAGGTCACCTTTGTCAGGAAATTTTGTTAGCCTGCATTCAGTTGCTGGTGATTTGCTGTCTTTAGTTCTTAGTCAGTCCCTTCGACAAAGAGTAGGTCAGTACTGACTCCATGTATGCTGCCATAGTTACTGTCATTCAAGTGAAACTGGGCGGTTTAACAATTAGGAAAACAGTCCTGCCACTGTAAGTTGTGGGCCTTTCCAGCTTTTACTAATGTAGCCAGTTTGTGGGGGAAATAAGACTGTCAGCCCAGGCTCCATCAATTTCAACATTGACAGAAAGGTAAGTGCGGTTTGAATTTTGACAGTGAAATATATGTGGCATTTTTAAACATAGGAACTTTATACCCACAACATAAAATCAAGGCTTTTTTTCTGAAATCTACAGAAAATCTATTTTTTTTTCCCATGTCAGACTTGGCAATATCAGTTTCTGTGGTGAATCTACTTAGCATGCCAAAAAGAAGAGTAAGGGAGGGAAGCTTAAGGCTGTATGTGATATGCTGATTCAAAGACAGGATAGGGTAGCTGCTTCTCTCCTCTCCTCTCCTTCCCCTGTTTTAGTAGGTCACATTGTCAGTGTACCTGCAGCCATTTCAATCTGTAGTCTGCAGACTCTTCTGTCCTCCTGTAGCATGAGCTGGCTGGCTCATTTCCATTTGAGCATTGAGATGTAGTTTATTGCCTTGCTTACCTCTCAGTACTGATTTGGGGCAGGCCAGTGATGCCATCATGTACTGCTTATGGAGAGGGTATAGTGGATGGGTATCTCACAGTTCTCGTTTTTGTTGGCAGTTGTACATGATGATCTCTTGTGCAAATGTCTCCTCAAGAAATCCTTATTAAAATCCAGAAAAGGGACAGCTGATGAATATTTTGCTGTCTCTGAAGCTATAAAGCACATACTATTTCTCTCAGTATATAAATACAGAATTCTAAGAAAGCAGTATAAAAGGGAATTAGTAATAAAGATGTGTCTGTTTCTAATTACAGCAAAGTATCCTCTTTTCATCTGTTCATTTCATCAAAAATACATTGTCATTGTTGAATGAGCAAAACCATGTTTCACTCCAGTACTGCCAGCTGCAAGCCAGCCTTTTTAATAAATACTCTCTCAGTTTATCAAAGTAATTGGAAATTGCTTCTTGGAGGCTGCTGAAACCATAACAAATGCAGACAGTAATCAGATTGTTTGTAATCAGAGGAGGGCAAAACAACACAAAAAACTTAAATGTAGACTCACTGGCTATTGCCAGCTTTTTCTTTTGCTTACACTGCTGACTTGAAACATAAGCAATAACCAGCTATTAAGTAGCTGGCAGTGTAGTAGTAATTATGTTAGTCTACTGTATGAGCATATTCTTCTTACAAAGTCCTGTGGGCTTCTGAGGATATAAGATTGCTGTTAAATGCACTCAGAGGGAGTAAAGTTTTGTTGGTTGGTCAGAACAGGGAAGATCTGGATATGGGCTGGGGTGAGAAGAGGAAATTATCATCTTCTGTAAAGCCTAAAGAAAAACAATGACAGTTCCTCCCTGTGTGCTCCCCCTTCTGCACAGGGGTGTCTCCTACTTGCCTGTTAATTGTGCTTGGACTTTGATCCCCTCTTCTTCCTTGCCATTGACGGGTATTTGGAGCTTTGTGCCCTTCCTCTGCCTAGCAAGGGACTACTTTTCTGATCCCTGCCACAGCTTGCTGAGCATTCTCACATGCCTTCAAAAACTTAGACCTTTTTGGGAACTGTCTGAAAGACTCTGAGCTTTGTGTACCCCTCCTGCAGATGTGTTTAGGGATGTCTTACTGTGTAGCACTGTCACTTGCATTTTCTTTTTAAGTATCTGAACATGAAATGAATAAAAATGTAAGATAAGGTTATTTTAATGTAACCTTTAGGAAAATACATTTATAGATTTTGTTTCTTAGTATGAGAAATAGTGTTTAGAACTTTTTGAAAAAGTAGTTCTTGATCTCTGTAGATATGGATTTTAATTAACATTTGTCATGAATGTACAGTGAGATCTTAATTACCTGGGTTTCACTAGACAAATTAAACAACTTCCTTTTGATGCTGGAAGGAAGATATATATATATATATATATATATATATATATAAATTTTTGGGGTGGTCTGAGATGTCTCATCCTTTTGTAACTGTCTTCATTTTTATTCTGTCTGAAATTCAGAATGTGTTAGCATTGCAGTAAAAATGTGTGAAGACCTCAAGTTGTACCAGCTTTTTCTTATTAACTTTGATGTGTATTACGTCTGTATCTGAGTTGACTATGCAGACAGAAATTGTGTAGAATTTTGATTCTATTTGTATAGAACACAGATTTTTAATACGGACAGATATTCAGTATGCTTACTTTCTTTTAACAAAAACAGCCAAATCATCCCAGAACTTTAATTGAAAGTGAATATTACTGGATAATAGTAATAACATTCTGATGGCTTGGAAAAAAATCCAGAATGAAACAAAAGTGTTTGTAGGATGAAGTTTAATTTAAATGCTGTGCTACTAAACTTTGAGGTCCCAAAACAAGCAGGGATAAGAACAGATTTGCACTTCTTGCCCCTGTAATAGAGCTGGCACCAGTCACCTTAATGTGATTATGTCTGTATTGTGAGTATTACAAAATAGCAGTCTGTGATTAAATTATTCAGCAGTTTTGTAGGTAGAGCTTTATCCTGTTTTTCCCGTCAGTAGACCTAAAGTTCTGAAGTTCAGATAACAGGAAAAAGCCTCCCTTATTTGATGACTGGAAAAAGCAAGTATTCAGTAAGCCTGAAACATCTGAACACTTCTACACACTCTCTGCTGAGCCAGAAGGTTGAACTTTGTGTGTGAGCTAAAGCCTTCTGAAAACCTTTGGTTTCAATAACTATATGGAGGTTGGATGTCATGGCTGAAGACTGCTCAAGTGGCTGTCCTTGTCCTGCTTCTTCTCTTCTTTCTCCTGTGATCCAGTTTCAGTCCATCAGCCCCACACTCTTCAAAAATCAAAATTCCCCAGAAGTCTTCTTGTCAAGCCTTAAGTCATTTGTTTGTTTCTTTTGTTTAGGTATTCCTGTCTCTCAGCAGCACTTAATTTGGAATAATATGGAACTGAAGGATGACTATTGTTTGGATGATTATAAGTAAGTATGGAATAAAATTATGTTCCTAATTAATGTTTCTAAATAATTGTTAGCATGAACAACAGAAAATGCTATAAAAATGTATTTGTTGTTATTTACAGCATTTCAGAAGGCTGCACTCTGAAGTTGGTTCTGGCTATGCGAGGTGGACCTGTTAACACCAGAAGAGGTAGGTGTTAAGGAAGTTAAAGAAAGATGGTAGTTTTCATGCAATGTCTTGTAACTGTAAAGAGCTTCTCTTAGGTAAGCATTTTAGACAATGAGACTTCAGTTCCATATTAATTGGAAAAATACATAACAAAAAATGGGGGGATTTTTTTCTCCATCTTCTCTCAGCATATCAAGTGGACTTTGTTTACTCTTAAATTAAGTATATTTGTATGTATAAATTCTGAAGTCGTAAAACCAGCAATTCTTCACTTGAAGAAAAAATTATCCTGGAATGTCGTTATACAAATAATTTTTAAAATATGGTCAATAAAAATCAGGCATTGCTACAATCAAATTATAAACTTTATATGGTTATGTGGATCATCTGTACAGGAGTGAAAATGAAGAAATTCCATTGATAATTTTCACTTGGGAAAAAACTCAGCATTGCTGTCTTCTAGGTTGGGAATTCCTATTATAAACTGAGCTGAGCTCTCAGAAGTGATCAAAAGAACAATAATAATAATAATACTTTGGTTTTATTTTGGTTTTTTATCTTTTAGTTCCTGTGAAAGACCCTATTAGGGAAATGGCTGAATACATGGATCCTGCTAGAGACAAGGTCTGGGAGAAAGGGCCGTCCAACAAACAAGTCACCTTCTTAGTGTATCGCGAAGGAGATCGCTTGAATTTCTTCCGTGTGGTTGACCGGGGCGATGGCACTTTAACACCACTGTCTGAATCTTTGAGGTAAAGTTGGTTTTAGTCTTTGTATTATTCTTCAAAAGTGGGTTGCTGTGTAATTTTCAGCTGTATTTGTTTTATCAGAAGAGTATCTGGCATATTGAAAGAATTGTTCCCTAAGGGCTATTAAATTGTTGCAACTGTCTTAACAGCACAGTAGTGCTTTGTGGTCAGTGGTTGTGCTGATGGTTCTCTTATCACTGTGTGCATTAATATAGTGAGATAAAACTGACTTCATACTTCAGGCAATTCTCAGCATTCCAGCCCTTTCTGAAAGAGAACATGTTACAGGAGAGTCAAATCAATATTTTATTAGATAGTAAAAACTTCTGTTAAGCACTTTCTCTAAAATCTTAACGCATTTGTGTAGTTTAGTAAACATTTCCCTGTTCACATAATAATTTTTTTTCCTATGGGCATGACTTCGCTAAATGATTAGTCAGGAAAATCATAATTATCAATACAGCCAGATTTTGGATGTAATTAAACCTAATGTTGAGGTACCAAGCTTGTGTCAATTACTGTCAGAATCCATTGATCTGGTGTATCACTTTACCTACTGCATTGTACTTGTAGTTAACAGTTTGGTAGTCTTTTTCCTAAAACTTATCAAAATGGATACCTACTTAAAATTATTGCATTCTGTTTGTATACTGCAGCTTTTGGGTAGGTACTTTTATCCTCTCAAGAACTTAATATTTGTACAGCTGTGAGGAAAGGAGTCCCTTTTCTGGGAACTAGTTGTGTTTTCTCCAAGGCTAAGGCTCAAGGTGCTTTAAGTGACTATTCTTATTCCTATTTGCAAAAGGAAAGCAAGAGCTTTATACTGGGTTTATATGGTTTGTATTCAGAGTGATGCTACTCTTAAAAATTTTTATAAGACATCCACACTTAAAAACCACCGACACAAAGAAATACCAAAGCTGAATTTCCACATTGTTAAACAGAGTATAAAGAGACCTAGTGTTTGATATACAAGAAAGAGAAAAGATACAAATATTTTAGATCTGTGATTTTATCTTTCAGCCCCTGTGCTCTTTCAGTAAATAGCCACATATGGTATTATTGTAAATAAGTTTATTGTAAATAGGTTTAAAAAAGCATAATTGATTAAGGCTCAGAACCTGCCTGCTGCATTGGGCTGGATACACTTCTGGAAAGATGAGCAGACTGGTGTAATTCTTGTTCTTGCTGTTACCACTTTGTTCCTATTTAACCTCTGGCTCCAGTGAACATGGAAACCCATTCACAAAGCTGGGACCATGGATGCTATACTGTGAGTTAGTGCAAGGGGTTGTCATAAGGAGCTTGAAATTTCATTTTTCAGGAGAACGGGCCCTCTGGTATCTGCCTACGTGTTCAAATTTTAGTGTGTGTTGATTATTTTTTTTCTTCCCATTTAAAACTAGTATAGACAGTGGTCTGAAAGTCTTTGTACTTTTCCATTGGGTAATCCTAATGTACACATTTACTAGTAATTTTACTGAGATTGGCAAAACGTTGCAAATGGGAGGAATAAACCACACTCATTTGGCTCTTGCAAGGTACCCTGGGTAAGCTTTTCAAAGCACAGCAGCACACAGGAAAGTCAAATACATTGGGCTTAAGAAATGTGCTGGTTAGGTGAACCAGTTGGGTTGGAAGCCACCTGAGTTGAAAACATTCTATTTCAGTTGTTTCTGTTTTTTCTGTGCTGTCTATAGGAGTTCACTTAGTAGCTTTTCTAGTAAAGCAGATAGTAATTTGGAGAGGAAGGAAATCCTAATTCTTGAGTTTGTCACCATGGCTGGGTGAGACTGTGGGAAATGGAGAAAGTAACAAAGGGAGGAGAGAATGGAAGCAAATCAGACCTTTTTGTCTGATCTTTATAGGGTAAAGCTGTGGGTCACTGAATACTGCTGAAAACTACTAGTTTTGCATACTGACAGATGTGTTCATATGTGTGGGTATATTGGTGACTAAGCATTTTGAAGCTTGTGTTTATCATCCTTTTCCACATTGCTGATACCTGGAGCAGAATTCGACTGAAATTTAGAAATGAGACGTTGGTTTTGATCTTGGTTTTTATAGTTCTCCCAATAATTTTATTTGTGCTTGAGTTAGTGGTTAAAACTTGACAAAAGTGTGAATGCATACAGTGATCATTGTCTCTGGGTTAGAAGAGCATTGAAACTGTAGTGGAGGACTGTCAGACAGTGGTGCCAAAAGGGTTTCAGCAAGCTAATAATTTTTGAGACATGCATTTTACAAGAAAGAGCTCAGGAATGTTGACACCTATGGACAAAGTAAATATAAAATTTACTAATTGTAAAAAGGCCTGAAAATATCGTTAATATCAAAACTCTCTGTCCAACATCTATAATCTTACTATCACATTAAAACAAACAAAAAATCCTTTTGTCACTCCTTTTTTTATTTTTTTTTTTCTTCCCTGTGTGTGTTTTTGGCCCCTATTTGTCAGAAAATGGAACAAAAAGATAACAATTACGATGTAAACCTTGGTAAAGATAAAATTTTGAAATTATTTTTTTAGTGTTGGATTTTTACCAGGAGAAATATGTATATGTAATATATATGCTGACTGTTCCCCTATGGAATTGCTCAGGGTTTGGTAAGAAATGTCTGGTCTATTTTGCTGACTCTTGGTTTGAATTTGCTGCTATCTTGCTCTTCACACTCCAGCTGTGCTGCCTTTGGAATTTTGTTACATTTTAGGAACTGGATTTGGAGAGTCAGTGCAAAAAATGCTGGCTCTAAAGGCAGCAGAGTATTTCTAAGAATCAGGTAAGATGCCAGCTCTAATTAGTGATATTTTCTTTTTAGTACTGACTTCCACTTGAATTTCAGTTCTTCCTTGATCTCTTTTGGAAAGTAGAAACTTAAGCTAAATCTGCTAAGACATTTGTATGAACACAGGGGAATTAGGGGAATTGCCTGATTGTCGTGATTTCTAGATGCTGACAGTGTAATGGAAGAACTAAAACACTCTTTAAAATGTCCTGCCTACAGTGTTGAAAATGCATCAGTTTGTAATGAAGTGGACAGTCCTAATGGTTCTTTCATTTCACTGTCAAATGTTGAATGTGTTACTGATTAATGCTTCATTGCTTCATAGGAAAAACAAGTTAGATGCTGATTTTTAAAACCTTGAGATTTAGATTCTGTTAGAACGCAGAATGGAAGAAGGAAATGTCATGCTATAAACTTCCAGTGACTACTGACTTAAAATATTTTGTCTTGGGACTAGCAATTCTAATCTATTTATTTTTTTTTCCGAATGTGAGACTCTTTGGAATCTTTGGAAACCTAAACTGATCTTTTTTTTCTTTTTTTTTTTCTTTTTTTTTTTTTTTATTTTGAAAAGGAGAAATAGAATATCACATCCACATGGGTGACCCCTCCATTTCCATTTATGGTGAGAACACCCCTCAGGATGGATAGAAATTTGGACTTTTCCTTCCATGCCAGTGTCTGGTTAATTGGAAAACTGATCAGCTTGTTGTCTGAGTCCCACACTTAACAGCTTTGGCCATATCTTCAGGAGACATTTGTGGAACTGGATATCCCCTCTGAGGGGAAAATATATAGTGAGTGTGAACCAACTGTATATGCTGTAACAACTTCCCAGAAGCGTGGCTGTGTGCAGATTTCAGCGACATCACCTTGCCGTAATAAGGGATGCTTATGTGGATAAATGGATTTGAAATATCTTTGCATACAGTTTTACATAATGTTTTGTCAACAGATCAACTACGGATATGACTTCCTAGTTGTGAGAATACTCTGCATTGAAAATGTAATTGAATTACTTCATTAGAGGGTGAATACAAACTTTCTTTTATTTTCAGTGGTGGTTCAGTTTATAATTTATATGCTGATGATGAAGATGAGACAGAGGCATCACCTTCTGGCCAACAGATTATTGAGAATTCAATTACTATGAACAAAATGAAACTGCTCAAGGCAAAGATGGAGAACATGAATCTGAGTAAAAAGGTGAAATTGTGATTTCAGTTTTTCTGTCATAAAATGGCGTGGGCTTTCCTTGTGCTGCCTTTTCTAAAAAGTAGATCAGATACTCTGCCATATTGAGAAGTCAAGTTGTCATGGGTAGATGATTTCTCAGCTATTGTTTGTATAAATGTTCTGGTGAGGGGCATTGGCATTCCTTGGATCTACTTGCCTTCATTCAAATAATTAATTACTAGTCCTGGATTTATTTGCAAGCGTAGAGTTTTTGGGTAGGTGGTGGGTGGGTTTTGTGGGTTTTTTTGTTTGGGTTTTTTTCTTCCAGTACTTTAAATAGAATTGTTTTGCAGTACTGCTCTGGTAAAAGTCAATGTTTCTCTTAAAATGAAATTTTGTTAGGTATACTGTAACTGAAAAACCTATAAAGTGAAATATGGGAATGATATTATCTTGAAAATAAAACAGTAAACTGGTGCTCATGTGTGACTAGGTTACCTAGATGTAAAATGAAGAGATTATACTTCATTACATTTTTTGTTGTGGTTGAGACCTGAAGCTCCTCTGGATAACTTTGATGACATTCTGGCTTCCTTTTTCTGTTTCTCTGATAGATCACCTATTTATTGAAAACATTTCCTGATATAATCTTTTATTTTATCACTCAGATGTTGGGATGAAGTCTTGATGGCTAGCATCATATGAGGGAGTAGAAAGAGTGATCTGGCCTTACACTGTCTGAATTCCTCAGAATATATTTTCAGTCAGGTCTTTTGAGTGCAACTGGAATTCAAATACTAATTGTTGTTGTATCTGTGATTTTTGATTTTGGTTGGGCTTTTTTTTTTTTAACAGCCTAAGAAAACCGTCAAGGTGAAGCCTCGCCCTCCCATGACCCCTCGACCATCGAGTGGCTCGGTGGCTGCTGCCCGTCACCGCTTTCTCAGAGTGCTGCCCCACATCGGACAGTCGTGCCTACCTCCTCCTGGGAATGTGCATCAGTCAGAGTCTCCCCAAAACGCACTTTCAGCATTGGCTACTTTGGCCACTGCTGGTAGAACAATGCCATCCACAGCTAATCACTTCCTGAAGGAAGACGACACTTGGCAGAGCAGCTCTTGGTCTCAGCCAGTCAATAGCATCAGGTTACCACCGAAAATATCTCGCGTTGAACTAGAAAATGCAAAGCTACCTACAAATAGTATTCTGACTCCTGTTTCATCCCTGCCTGCAAATTCAGAAAAAGCACCTGAAAATGTGACCTCAGCAAGTGAGGAGGATGCTGGTTTGTTTCCACATCTGACAAACGTGGAACTATATGGAAGAGAAGACGAACATCTACCTGAACCAGATGCTTTTACTTTTTTAACAGAAGGCAGCACTGCTGAACAGTGTAGTGAGATATATGACATAGGAAAGGTGAACCCAGAGCTTGAACTGCCTGATGGAGACAAAGATTCTGAGGTTGTAGAGCAGCATAGAAAACCTGTTGGCAAAGTGCTGAGCACTGCAGCAATGGAGACTGGTCTTCTCAGTACTCGTGAATTAAGTCCTCAGAAAAATCTGCTTTTGTCTCCCCTCCGGTATTCAGCGCAAGTGGCACATCACAGTACTCTGAAACCACAAGCACAGCCCAGATGCTTCGAGGCTGGTAACTTGAGATCTGCGGCCTCCCCAAATGTGCTTCGATCGTTGGAAGTACGTAGTATAGCAGACTCCTCTTTTCCTAGGACCACTAGATTTTGTAGTGTGAAAGTAGAGTCACTTGGCAAAAGACCTGATGTAATTTCTAAAGCAGAGGCTAGGGACATCACAGATGTGGCTAGCAAGGTATCCAAAGAACCTGCGAGTTCTGTAAGTAGCTTAGGATTCCTGGCTTCGCTGGCCCGAAGCACAAACAGGGAAAGTTTACAGAGTTCCTGTGGGACTGACAGGTTTCGGACTTCTGGTATTGCACTGCCTACAAGCCTGCAGCATTTTCAGGAAGAAAGCTTTAGGAAAACTGCTCCTCCAAATGAAGCTGCTGAATATATTCTAGTGAGTATGCAAACATCCAAAGAAATCAAAGTTTTCCTGGTTTTGTGATACTGATGTTACAAAACTACTGTGTGTGTGTGTTTCTGTCTTGTCAGGAGAGGCAAATGGACTGTGGGTGGTGTATTTAAACTTCTGATTGTCTTAAACTATTTTCTGAATGGCTGATGATATCTAAACAGCCTGTTTATCTAAACAGGTCCTAGAAGTAATTTTTCATTAAGATTAAAGTGGTTGTTCAGTTCACAACTGAAATTACGAATTATTGTAGTGATAGAGTTATGAGTGTGTGTGTTAGAAGCATCATCTGGCTTCTGCTGCTCACTAATTGTCATTTATTCCAAAGTGTGCCCAGTGACTGGCACCATATTTGCCAAGCTTCTGCTGTCTGATGTACATTGTTGTTTTGGTGGATTTTGAAGTGTGGGGAGATTGATTAAACAGCCATTGAGAGTAAGGGTTTATGTTACAGAATAGTAACTGTAAAAGTGTGCAGAAGTTTCTTGGACTCTTCGTGTGTAGATTGATAAAACATTGATATCAAATAAGCTAATACCAGACTACCTACTTTTCCATTTAATTTCCATCTACTAGTAATTTCCTTGTGGACATTTTTTTTTTTTTTTTTTAGTCTGCACATGGGCTTGGAATGAATGGAAGTATGGCAGCTGTAGGGAAAAGAGTAGGTAAGTAACATATAATAATTAAAGATTAAATTAATCTTTAATCTTTCCTGATACATCACGCATAGAGAGGACAAAAATAATTTCTCTTTGTAAGGCATTTGGCTTCTGGAGTCCTTGCTGTATTATACTTCTATAGCTTGGTTAACCTTTTAATATTTTAAGCAATTCTTAAACAAGCAGATGGGATCCAGATCTTAGATGGACCATAACTGCAACTATTCCTTAGCTTTTTTAATACTTAGTGAATCCTGCACGTCATCTGTAGATCTAAATGGGAGTTACTGTGCTGAAGTTTCCAAATTATCAGTTCTCTGAATACTTCTGAGTCTATTAAAATCAGAGCCAAATTTATCAGTAGCATTTTCTTTAGTACAAAAAAGTGGGGAGGAAGCAATAAGGGCATGGATGCTGCAGAACATAGATACAGTGCAGATATTTTACTGGTTTTTGTGCTTGTCATTCTTTCCACCCTAGCCTTGGTAACTGTGGAGTGCTTAATGTTTGACATCTACTGAAAAAAGATGTGTTATGCATAGATGTTAACTGCTTATGTGATTAATTCTACTGGGAGGAAAGGAATTGTCTAAATTAATGCTTTTAAAGCTCTTAAGACAGTGAGCTAAGAATTTTCAGTGCATTTAATTTTTCTTCTATGTATCTTGGACTTGCAGTTAGCAATTTTTCTTTTCTTTCTGTATGACCTTAGGAAGAGGTAGGTATGTATTGCAGATCCAGGTGTAGAAAATGAGCTAGACAATAGGTGTTCAAATAGCAGCTGCAACAGAAAAAATTATGTAATTGCAATGTTGGAGCAAAAGCTGTTAAAAGAGTGGGTTGTGCCATTGTTTCACAGCTGTGGGTGCAGCTTTGACTTGGCAGTCAGTCAGTAAACAGGTCTGTCCTTTGCTGCTCCAGAGGTGGTACCCTGAGAGCCTTGTCTGCATATGGGGAAGCCTGCTAACACCTGAGTCACTTTGGATAGGACTGTGAAGAAGACACTCCTCTGGTGAATCTTACACTGGACAGAAGTGTATTTTCCAAAAGATGCTGGATATGAGTTGGGGTGGTCATATCATGCAGGCTCTTGAGAGAGATGTGGTGATGATCTGTTAAAACTGGCCAAAGGACAGATCACTTTTCACTGTAGTTGCTGTAGGGATGTAAATGTGAAGACAGGTGTATTTTTTTTCCTGTTCAAGTAGATCCACAGGGCCAACTGTCTTCAAGCTCTGTCTCTTTCACAGACTGGGCTAACCGATGCCTCTGAAATGGTGTGCTTTTAGATGACTAAATCATTAGCGTGGACAAATGTTGCCTGGAACTTTGAATGCTAAATAGGAATGGGGTGGGAGTGGTTGGTAGTGATGACTGTGATGTGTAGTGACTGCCTGGTGCTACTTTTGAGTGTAGTCTGCTGCATTTCAACTAAGAAATGACTGTTGGGATTAAAAGTGTACTGGACACAAAATACTTGAGAATTCATGAGAACTTTTTGGGAGCATCCTGACAATTTAGCAGTAGAAACACTGAAAGAATGTTTGAACGGATGCATTGCTCACTTTACTGATCCAGATGTGGGAAATATGCTTAAGGAAGTTGTGGAGAAAAAACTTACTTCCACAGAGGGAAGGGAGGAGATGAAGAAAGGAGAAGCCTTTTCGTTACATGATCTCCAGTTAATAAAGCAACAGCCAAGAATTATATGGCAAAAAGTAAACATAAAATAAATTTTTAAGTGTAGAAATTTTACAAACATCTGCAAAGTGCCTAATGTAACCATATAGCTAAGTAGAGGCCTGTAGTGTAATACTATACTTTTCTTGCACTTCTGGAGTACCAGCAAGATGTTGCAGTACTTACTTGGCAAACTGGTATACTGACTATATTGGATGCTAGGTACTGGAGTGCCCAGTTGATTCTTTGTAAAGCCATTGTGCACAGTGCTTTCCCAGTGACACTCCGTGTTCATTTCACACCTGGGAAGACCATTAAGAGATGTGTTTCTTGATTTGTTCTGTAACTTCTTGCTTACGTGAACTTTTAAGGGGTGTTCAAAACAACAGTTCTGTGCATTGGGATGCCTCTTCCAGAGGTGTACATAGGCTTGAAGTGTGTTTCCTGTTTTGGCTTTCGTGGTTTATTTTTCCCCTCTCCTTTTACACTTTGGGGTTCCCACCTGAAGTATCCTAAGAAATGCAAAACAAATCTGTGTTTCAAAAGATAACATTTAACTAGTTTGTGAGTAAGTTAAAATGTCTTTGCTGTCTTTCTGCTTCTGAAAGCAGGTGAAGCAACCCATCTTCCACCTGTGAATGGCTTAATTCAAGCAAAAAAGAAAATTTCAAAGCACTGCTTTCTTTGTGGCAAGAAAACTGGATTGGCAACCAGCTATGAATGCAGGTAGGCTGAGTATATAACCAGCTGTTACTTAAAATTGATAGCTGAGTTAACCAAAAAGTTTTCTTTGCTGCATGGTATTCCTTAAGCATAGGAAATCAAAAGGCAACCTTCAAAAAAGTTGCAATTCCCAGTTCAGCAAAACTGCAGGAATTAGAACTTGAGAATGTTGCCCCCATTCTGCTCTTGAGGTGTATGTTCTTCCAGGAAGGTCAAGAATGAGAAGGTAACAGAATGGAAGATACCAGGAAATTAACAGATAACAAAAAACAATGACACTTTATACTGGTGGGAGAAAAAGTTTCTACATATACATGTTCTGCAAAGTTTCTCATCCATAACGATACCTTTAACAACTTGAGGAAAAAGCAGCTTTGGTATAGTTTCTCAGAAATTGCTCTGATTTCTCCCTATTGCAGCATATCTTCAGAGTTTGTGAATTTACACAAATTTTGTTCAACAAATTTTTGATGTCTGTTCTGCTTTTTGCAAGACTTCAGTTACCTTTGAGCACTTAGAGCATCTCACACACAGAACACCAAAGTGCTGGTCCTCCAAATCCTTACTTCTAGACAACACTGTGAGACCTGGCGCTTGGTTGTAGTCTTGGGAAACTGTAAAAAGAAACCACAAAAAAATCCACAGACAAAAAAAACTAACCTCCAAACAGAAAAAAACCTCAACAACAACAACAAACACAGGACAAAAGCCAGCTCTGTTAATCTTAGTTTTCAAAGTATTTTTCCCCACATAATGTTTTTTATGAGCTAGTCAAGGTTGGGAACTGCTGCACTGTGAGGGCTGCATTTGGAGCTGATCTTGGTTCATGCCAACTACAGCAAAATGAAAAAGAACTTCTGCCACTGGGAATTGTATAGAGAATTTCAGGGTGAGGAATTGTCTCCTTACTGATTCTTCAGTCTCTGATTTTGAAACAGTTTTGGACACTGCTCACTTTCCTGATGAGCAAATAGCTGCAAGCTCTTCTAAAAGTAACTAAGCAGCTTACTTAAGGTTAAAAATTAAGGGGGTGATGGCTCATTTCCAAGAATAGCATTCGTTTTGGTTTCAAAAGGAGCAACTATATAGGACCATTTACTAGCAAGCAGGATAAACCAAATAGAGAACAATCAAATGAGAAAAGTGATTATGGGGCCAAGAACCGAAGAAAAGCAAATTTATTTCGAGGCACACAAAGCCTCAGTAACAGCTGCAGAGTTTATTATGAACCTAGATAGATAAATAAATAGGGGATTGTAGTGTAATAGTGAATTTTGTTGGGTAATGCTTAATCCATTTCAACAGAATTCTGATTTTGAGTGGTATCAGTGTTTAGCTGTCAGGAAACATCTCTATGAAATAATCAGGCAACAGGACACCAGTATGGGTCTCCAGATAAAGCACTTTTCCAGATCATTAACAACACTCAAAGTATGCTTTTCTTCTGGTAAGACTCTTAGCTGCAGAGCTGTCAAGTTTGAAGCAAAAATCCTGATCTTAACTCATGAAAATTGCAACGGATACTGGGTAGATGAAGCCTATTGAAGTCCTCCAGGAAGTTACGTTCCTTGTAGTTTGTCTGATGTCTTAACAGCTGACTAAATCTGTATCTATTAATCTTAAATGGCTCATTTGAGTTTATGCCAGGCAGAAGTTGAGCTGAAAACAGCCGTTTTGATTGTCTGAGTGATGTTGTGGTTTTGAATTGAAATGCATTATGTGGATTTCACCTGAGAGAATTACTGTCCATGGTTTTATCGTCTGAAGCTACCAACTAATATTGTGTGAGGCCCTTAAAAAAAAGAAAGAAAGTAAAACATAGCTCATTATTCTTAATTTATAAATGTATTTGACTCCTTACTAGCTGGTTCCTGGAGTACTGATTTTGCTTAGCTTCCCAGCTGAAGAAACTGTTGGGTCAAAACTAAAATATTCAGTGTGAAAAATGTCATTCTGTGTACCCCACCAGTTAATGTTATCAGTCAAGGATGGTAACAATTCAAACAGCTCTTTCATCTAAGGCATGGTTAAGCAAAATGGCTACCAGCATGTCAGAGCATTAAAAGCTTCTAAAAGCTTGTAACTTATATTCTTGATTCTTCAGATGTGGAAACAACTTCTGTGCAACACACCGCTATGCAGAGACTCACACTTGCACCTACGACTACAAGAGTGCAGGACGGAGGTATTTACAGGAGACCAACCCCATCATTAGTGCACCAAAGCTTCCCAAAATTTGACATGGTTGTGCTGCATGTGGCCACTCTGCTGTTGAAGAATTGTGTTGAATTGAGAGAAGCACTTGCTTAAACTGCATAATTTCGCCATGCTCCGTATTTAAAGATTTGCCAAGTAACAAAAGCACATGAGGATGCATCGAAGAATAATGTGAACACTACTGCAGTTAAAACTTTTCTTCTTGAATGAATGAAAGGTTAAAAATGAGTTTCTGAAAACTTACACTATGATTTAACTGTTACTGCACGTGTTGTGTTTTATATTTGGAAAAGCTATTTCACTAGACAAGTCTTTAAAGATGCACTTTACTAACTTTACTGTATAACCAGAGTTGAGGGGGTGTTGTAATGAGGGTGTCACGTAATGTCTTCTGTACTCTGGTTTTGTCCATTGTGTGGTATCTTCTAAGTTATTTCACTAGAAAGAACCCTCTCCCTCCCCTTTCTTCAAACAGCCTGTTTTGAAATCTTAAGGGGATAGTGTGTTCCACCCCTCTGTTTCATTCTGATTGATATTTGTACATTGTGTGTCCATTCTGAAAATTACATATCATCTTAATCACATTTTCTTAAAATAATGCTGTTTATATGACAAGTTTGTTTTTAAATAGAAGGTTCCCTGTTTGTTGCCATTAAATATAAGAAACAACTTATTTTAACTTTTTTTGTAATCCTAGATTTTTTTAAGACTTCACAACTTGCTTTGTTAAGATGTTGAATGCTGTTACTGGAAGAAATTCTAATAAATATTAAATTTTATTCTTGTTTATGCTGTCATAAATGCACAAAATAACGTCCCTCTTACAGTGTGCTCCTAAATTAAAAGCTGGGCTCTCTTGGGAGGGTGTATTTATTTTCTTATTCTTTGTTTGGTTTTTTGTTTTTTTGTTTTGTTTTGGTTTTTTTTTTGCACAAGCACTGGCTCATATCTGTTCATACTGAAGGTGATGGGAGAAATTCCCACCAGCTTCATTAGAAATAGTGTGGCCAACACTATGTGCTTTAAATAAACCTCCTGAAGTCTTACAGGTGTACTAGCAAAGGCAGAAGGGATGCACAAGGAATGGCCTGCATTAATCTTTCTCCCCTCCAGCTGATACAGTACAACAGCAGTTCGGTAAATGCATGAGACACTTCTGATGATTATGTAGCCTCTGCAGAAACTGCTGTTGGAGGAATATACCTACTCAAAGACTTTATTCTTTCATTCCCTTAATGCTTGTGAAATGTTTTTATAAGCATAAGTTGCATGAAGTGTTCCAGTATAAAGAGATTAATAAAAATCCTAGGACAAACCACCAAAACAAAAGAAATCCTCCCACATTGTATCTAGGTAATCAAATGTCATTGTCCCTGTCTTGCCAAAGTCCTCAGCTACTTAGCTGGTTGTGGTATTAAAATGATCTGTGCTGCATTCCAGTCAAAGGGTAGCAGCTTTATGAGAATGACAGCCCAAAGGCAGATGAAAAAAAGAAGATGATCACTGAAAGAAGGAGAAGTAACTTGAGGAATCTCATCCTTGGAGGAAATCCATTTCATGTAGTCCACTTCAAACTTCTTAAACCTGAAGTTTTCAGAGTGATGAGCTTGGAAAAAAATGTTCACAATCATTCTTCTGGGTGTTGATAAGATAAAAATGTCATTCCATCTGTCTGACTTGTGTGCTTGTCCTTACTGGAGGAAGTTCCCCTGATACGACGAGCGTGTTGTTCCTGAGCCATGCTATGTACCATGAACAGCCTGGAGTTTTTCCATCTCCAGCATGGGGCAGTGTTTGATCCCAAAGGAAGAGAATAAGGAACGTGACAAATGCACAAGTGTTTTCACAACAATTGCACACAGCTCAGCAACATTCTAAAGACAGAGGTATTGCACTTCTTGTAGGTACAGTAGGGATTTGGTAAGAAGTGGAATTAAAATACTGTGGTCTGTGATCACTTAATCTGATTTTGCATAAGTGTAATTGTTTTGCAGTATATTGGAATAGTCATACTCAAATTTTAGTACAACTACATAACAGATATGTGGTAGGAAGTGTCTGAGTCACATCTCAATTTTGACTCTCCCTTTCTGCATATGTATCATGAAATGCACAAAAATGCTTTTTTAGAATATGCCATGCACTAATAATCTAATTTCCCTGTGTATAACTTCTCATAATTTTTATTATACCTCATTTTAATTATGCTTAATGCAGATAGTTCTTGTTCAGAACTCCACTGGTTTTGTTCCCACTAAGTGTTACAGGCATTAATTTTCAACCAGTAGTACAGCCACAAGAGCACTTTAATTTGAAATTAACTGTTTCAATTGTTAATTCAGATGCTACTGGCTTTTACCAAGTCCTGTGTTAGTTTCTGCTATGGATTAATTACTGTTTACTGTGTAAACTTAAATAAATGGTTGGGGGTTTGAGTGTTAGTGTACCATTTTGCTGTGCATCTGCTGAACACAAATGTTTAGCTTTTCTGTGTTCATGTAATTAGATTACTGTATTATAAAGGGTTTACATACTGGAAGTTGAACAGTTACTTTGGTGTGTGCTCTTCTATACCTTCCTGCCAGTTTTCTTTTTTTGTTGTTGTTTCTTTAATGCTTGAGAACCTGTGAGGCAAAACTGGGCTGGTCTCTTGTTGAATGATCTCCAGGATTCTTGTGTCAAATTGATAGGCACCACAGAGGTGTCAGAAATGGGTTTGGATCATGTATTAAATACTTCCTTTCTCTGGAATCTCTAGAAGCCCGTGGTGATAAAAATCTGTCTGCTTGCAGTTTCTGTCTATTCAGTTTGCAGTCCCCTGGGATGTAATTGCAGTGATGCCTTCTGCTCACATTCTTCAGTTGTAGACAAGGCCAGAATTGTTAATTCATATTACAAAATACAAAATGAAGTTTTTCTAGGTTTTTTTGCATACAAATAATTATACACTTTGCTTTCTTTTCAAGTACTTCCTGCTTGCATAATGGGGCACCATCTTTTGGGTGTAAATTGTGGATTTGGTATTGCTTCTGCCTGTAAGGAGTTGCTTCCACCTGCAGCTTTTGCATTGGGTCATGTTTTTCCAATCTTTATGTAAATCAGGTTCATCTTGAGATGCATTGGACATTTTTCTGGTATCTACATTAGCACTGAGCCACAGTTGCCTACTTAAGAACATTATTGGAGCTGAGAACCACATCTGGAAGAGTAATCCACTCGTTCATGCATAACTTCTACACAGGGACGTTGGGGCAGATTGTGCTGGAATTCTCTTGCATTCACTGTGTGTGTGAAGCTGCAGAGATGGAACACCAGAGGGCACCAGAGGCATTTAAAGATGGCAAAAAGTTTTGGGTTTGCCCAATAACGAGATTTACAAAAAAAAAAAAAAAAAAGCGTAGTTATGACCCTTACTCAGCCCACTCTGAACAGATCTGAGGAGGTCAGCAATGGTGTACATTCCTTTTCCTAATTCCAAAGGTTTTAAAAAAACAGACTGAAAGAGTACCTCAAAAACTTGTTTCTATGCTGGGTTTCATGATACAAGTTATTAGGTAATCTCAATGTATTGAAGACTAGACAGCCCTCCTCTCTTCCTTCCCACTAACCCCAAGGGTGGATTTCAGAGGTGTCTGTTAGCCAAGCTATGTTGGATGTATATTTAGCTATAGTTACCAGATGTCTGGTAAAAATACTGCACCTCCCCATCATTTCTTACTTTAAAAAGACAAAGTGTTGCTGCTTTTTTCTTATGGATACAGAATGAGGACATGAAGGTATAAATTCAGTGGTGTGTGAGGAATGTATGCCAGTAACTGCTCAAGTGACCACTCCTTACTGTCTTGCCTAGCCTTGCAATTCAAAAAGCTTTACAGTGGCAGAAATTTATTTCCAAACCACACTTTAAGGCTGTTTCAATCCTTTTTAATCCAATCTTCAGGAAGACTGATTACTATGTACCATATATATATAGGAAGTGTATATGTAGCTCTATAAGAATTATATTCGAATCGCATCTGGATGCTGAATTATTGCTGAATTTAGGTGTTCTGCCCAGCACCAGAAATTCAAAACAGTACCTAATCACAAAAATAGTATTATTTACATGGTATGTGATTGAGTGTTAATGAGGAGGAAATGAAAACACTGAAGTTTTCTAAAAGGAAAAATCGGAGGTTTCAAAATACCCTCTCTTCTTTCTCTCTGTGTAAGGGGTTTTTTTTAGCAAATACATATGACTTTTTAAAAAGTGAATAATCCTTTCTCTCACCCTTCTATTCATAAACTTAATGTGCAGACAGTCTTTTTTTTTTTTTTTTTTTTTACTTGAACTAATGACACTTAGATTTATTTTGCTTGAATCTTGTACTTAAGTGCTGGAACCGTTGCCCATAATGGGCCTTATTTGCTAAAAGCCTGCACTGGCTGATGCAAAGCTACAACACAGATATATAATGAAATACCTTTGGTTCTAAACGTGGTCTTGAGACTGACAGTTGAGTGACAGGATTTCTTAGCATCTCCTGTCTTGTCAGCAATCATAGGTAGTTTGTTTTGGGGAGACATAGGACTCATCAAAATAGACTGGATTAGCCTGAAATCCATCCAGCTCCCATCTGTCTCTGGGAGTAGGAGGTAACAGGCACTTCAGAAGGTGCAAAAATTCCCTAACCAAGTATTCAGGAACAGGACACTGGATCCTATGCTAATGACTACTCTGAATTATGACTTGCTATCTCAGTGTACAGTATGATATTAATTTGCAGGTCCATAAAGGTCTAAAACTATTTTTTAATCTTGATAGATTCATAGTTTCACTTATTTATATGTGTAATGTGAAAGGAATCTTCTTTCACTGCAGTTTTGAATTTCCCGCCATTTTTTAATTGAAATTCATTTGGTCTAGTGTCAAGAGAAAGAGAGAACCGTGTCCCCTGAATATTTCAGTATGTTCTGTCTTTGAATCACATCCCCTCTTACTCATCTTTTTTCTGGTAGCAATTAACTGTCTTTACTATTACAGAGCCTTAATTATGCTTGCTGTCCTTCAAATCTCCTCTAATTTTGCATTATATGTTGTCATCTGCAGTTCTCTGATTCCCATTTTCTTGTGTGTTCAGCTATAAGCTGCTCAAGGCACTGTTACAATGGAAGCCTCTAAAATTGTGATTAATAATTTCACCAGGTGAAATATGCCCAGGGTTCTTCCAAGGAGGTCCCATAGAAATGCTTAGTATTATTAATCTTCATCTAGTCTGGACCAGATGTAAACAGCATTTGTATGAGGAGGAACGCAGGAAAGCGCTGCAAGGGGAACATGTGGCTGAGTTCAGCACAATAGCTGTGCTGCTGAGGAAGGTGATGTGTGGGGCTGGTTACACAGAACCAGACTGCCTATTTTTATGCCTTCACCACATCTGCGTGTCAGTCACATGCAATCTGTTAATTGCAGCGGGGAGAGCCAGAGCTCAGTATTGGCTGCTAAGAGGTAGGCTTGGAAAATGTAATTCCTCCTCTGCATATTTGGGTATGGAATAAATTACTTTCTGTACATTCCTTAATGGTCCGAGTAACAAATGTGAAAGTGAAGGAAACTGGCCAGATCCATTTTCCAAATTCTTGTCAGTGGAGGGGGAAGTTGGGCTTTTTTCTCTCTTTTCCAAAGCCAGGGAAGAACATGGTGAGCCCTAGACCCAGTTGCAGTACCACCTGACTTCTGGAGAAGCATCTTGTCCCTGAGCTTCACT